TGGACTGCATGTCAGCACAGATACCGCTGGTGTTTTTCTCTCTGCCTTCGATTTTGGGATTGCCAACAAAGTACTTGGTCATGAGGGCTTGGGGTTCTTGGTCATCTTCACTGGCACGCGATGAACTTCAAGGTTCTTGTGTCCCGATATGGTTTGTTTTTGATGGAAATATCGAGGCCATGAAACTCTCTACCGATCCGCCCAGCGGTCCGATGCATGCTTACCACGACTCATACACATAGCACAGCGGCGTCCCGCCAACCGTGTCCATGGCATCGCCAATGGTGATGTTGCGGTGCAGCGGCTCAAAGCCCATGTTGTCCCCCAGCTTCGACACGGGCGACACCGGCCTGTTGAACATGGTGCCCGTCCCCGAGATCTCCTTGCCGCGCTTCTCCCAGTCCAGGTTCTGCCAGATGAAGTGCATCCGGTCCATGTTGCCGTGATGCAGATAGAACCCCGGCTCGAGCGCCGAAAAATGAAAATCGCTCCCTGGGTCGCCGCTTATCGCATAGTGCCCGCCGGTGTGCACGCCCATGCTAAAGTCCTTGCCGCCGTCGCCCTTGACGCCCTCGCCCTGCGACCCGGCCTGGAAGACGTCCATGGTGCTCGCGTACAGGATCAGCTCCGTGGTGCGGCGCAGCGACGCCCACTTGGTGCAGATGTCGTCGTTGAGGTCCCGCTTGAGGCAGCGCGGGTTGTGGCGGAGCGGGTCGCCGCCGCCGAAGGTCGTCGGGCCGAGGTTGACCGTGACCTTGCTGAAGGGGCCCGTCTTGACGCAGCCGCCGCCGGTGCCGGCCTTGGCGCCCGCCATGGCCGGGCTCTTGCGCGCCACGTACTCGCCGTTGCCGCCGAGCGAGTACTCGCTGCCGTCCCAGAGGGGCGACTTGTCGAGCTTGCCGCAGTCGAGGCCCCACTCCCAGTAGGGGAAGACGCCCGTGTAGCCGCACATGTTCTTGAGGTCCTCCTCGAGCACCCAGTTGTAGTGGCGGTGCCAGGGGAGGAAGAGGGCGTTGTTGTGGACGAAGGGGGTCTAGGGGTCTGTGAGTTGGGGGCTTTGGGGGTGTGTAAGTGGGGGTGGGCTCACCTCGTAGTAGTGGAGGACGCCGTAGTCGTCCCAGGCGGACTTGGCACCGGCGATGCCCTTGTAGCGCGCCGGCTTGTTCATCAGGCATGTCACGGCCTCTTGGTATCCCTTACGGTCGGTGAGGGTCATGTTGCGCCTGGGGGTGTCAGCTGGGAATCCAACTCAGGGGTTGGGATGCCGTACCATTCCTTGCGGATCTTGACCTTGTCCTTGGTGCACCCCGACGTCGACTTGGCCGCGCGGGCCATGGCATTGTCGTAGGCGATCTTGCCGAGCTGGCGGATGGCCTCGCCCGAGTCGATCTGGGCCTGGGTGAAGGTCGGGATGGTGGCAGCCAACGCCGTGCTGGCGAGGGCCGCGGCCGCGAGAGACTTGAGGATGTACATGTTGTCGTCCTGCCTGGTCGTCGCTTTTCCTGGTTGCAAGACACACCAACCCCGAAAGCAAAACAGGAGAGAAGGCCCTGGGTTATGAACCCGGCCACAGATGTCCCTCGGGTCTACTTCCGGGGCCCGATGCGCGGAAATGGCGAATGTCGTCCACCTCAAAACCCTGTCCCAGGCCCCAGCTCACAACACAAACAAGGGCCACTATCAAAAGACGTCTAAATACATTAGCCCTCTCGCGCAGAATCTCACCCTGTGACTTGGTCACCGGCAGGGTCTCGTCCAAGGAGGGTCCCGTTGGTGTCGCGGAAACATTGACCGCTGCGGCCCGGCCAATAGGGTAAAATGGAACGGGAGGAAACAGTCTAGAAGAAGTGAAGAACGTTGCCCCATTGGTGCCCAGACACTTTGTTCCAATAAGCCGCACCTGGGGCCCTGCTATGCTCTGGGGCACAATCGTTATAGCAGACAGCCCGGCACTTGGTGGGCGGTATGCTACTCGCCGCCCAATTTTCCCATCTGGGCGGCGGACGGCGATGTTACGGCCAGGCTCCGCTCGCGGCTACCTTGACGGCACTTGACGCTGGGCACTCGGAAGCGGCGCCGCCAAGGTCGAATAAATTTGTTTCTGACGGGGAGTGGCGTTGATCTGCAGGATGGATCAATTTGCAGTCTTGGGTCCTTTGGGGATGACGAAGCCGTTGGGACTCTAGACCACATTCTTGCTCTGGTGGATGCATTGCGCCAAATTGCAATCAGTGTCAAATTATGGGCAGTAAGCGAAGGGTGCGAGAAGGAGCGAAGGGTTCGACATTTCCAGGTTCCCAAGATGTCAGACTGAGGATGGTGCGGATCTAGACGAGAGCTGGAGAAACCTCGCATTATCCCCGAGATCTGCTTGAGCTCGGCTCTCGGAATGTGGGGACGGCAAAGATATATTAACCCAAGACCATGGTCCAACCGATTGCCTCGTTTCGGAAACGACTCGGGTTTATGGGGGGGGGGAGGGGGGGTTTGGAGTAGGGAGGCGAGTGTACCTCGATCTGCCGGTATTCTAAACGTCGGCGACGGAGTTCCTCCTCGTAATTCTCTTGGGGAGTACAGCTACCTAGGTATCTAGTAGCTCAGTAATATTGAATTCTTCGACCCTCGACCACCCATGTCGAAAGTATCTGCACCGCTACTTCAACCTCTTCTCTACTACCAATACTTTTCCCATTCAAATCGAAGGTTTTCCGCAGAGTCGGTGCCTGTGTTTCCTTGACTGATACTACCCTCTCCCCGGCTGCCAGTGTCCCCATGAACTTCGTCTCTTGCCTGTCTTCGGGGTTCTCCAGGAACAGCGCTGCCACTGACAGAGCAGAAATCTTCCACACATCATAATCAAGAAACTCGCCGGTGGTACTGTCCAGTATCAGCTTGATCACCAGCTCGTCGAATGACCGGCCTCCTTCCTCCCTCGGCCTTACTCGAAGGTACAGGTTAATCCTTGCCCCGGAATCAGTTCGAATGGCACTGAATAGAGATCGACTCGGAGCTCCCAAGACTCCCTGGAAGGACACAGATGCCGCAGCCCCTCGTCCCGTGCCGCAGGTTGCTTGTAGTCTGGGGCAATAATACTCCAAGATGTCTAGTCCGACGTCGTGAGTGAGATCCAATGTGAACCTCTTTTGCCCTTTTTCGACACTGACCTCATTCCTGGGTCCGTACGGCAAGATCGTCAATGTCTTGAGGACATCCTTCATCTCATAACCTGCGAGATGGATAAGGGGCATCGGATGACGGTAATAGTCTTTCGCAACTGCCGTTCCGTCTTCAATGTCTTGGAGCTGTGCGATGTGACCAAGCCTCTCAACTGGAAAGCCGATCAACCAGCCATCGAACTCCATGACGGGCAATACCGCATATGTTCCTCCTGGGTAGCGTAAGAGGCTGAGGGAAATGTGAAGTCCAACGTTGGTCAAGAAGAAGGGCTTATTCACGACTTCCGCCGGAAAGGCAGGCCTCGCAGACTGGATGCGAGTGCACCCCTTAAAATCTCTCGGAGAGGAGGCGAAAATCTGGCCAACCTTTGTTAACCCGAGGGGCTGGCGATAGCCCCAGACGAACAGTGACTGGTCGTCGGACGTTCGCAGGATCTCGTGTTGAAGGCGCTGAAATGCTCGTTCTCCCTCGCCGTACAGAAGTGGCATGTTGACACCAAAGAGGCCGAGGAGGCAATAGGCCTCGTCTTCGACCCGGGTGGTCGTCCGTCGAGCCGCCCAAGACATTCTTTTTGCAACGCTGAATGCCGAAAGACTCGGCCCTTTGGGTCGGGGGTTGAGGATATCCTTATCGATACCCGTGATTTCCTCAAGCCGCCCCGCAATCTCCTGCCTGGAGGCGATGTACTTCCAGTCTTTGTTGAAAAAGAAAACATGACTCGGCACCAGAAGTTCCTGGAGTGTCCAGCCTCTTGTGAACCATTTGCTTCGCGGGAAGTCTGACTCTGATTCCGTGCTTTCGCGGGTCGGGATTTTGCGGGCCAGGCGGTCTGCAAAAAAAATTGCAGAGACGTCGCTCAGATAGGCAGTGCAGAACATGGCCTGCTCGTACCACTTGTACATGGAGTTGATAGCCTCGGATAGCTCGGCACTGCTCTCTTTGTTGATGCAACACGTGTCGATCCAGACGTGGTTGAAGGATGGGACAACGTCGTCATTTTCGTCGACGCCTTCTCTGGAACCGTCCTCTTCGGAGAGGCTGGAGACTGGGAGATATTGAAATTTCTCGGGGTCCTGTACATATTCTTGAACGAGCATAACGAAGTTGAGGATCTTGGAGTACCCGCTGCGGGTCTTGAGGGCGGTGTATTTTTCCCGGACTCGGAGTTGTTGTTTGGGGGGGAATTCGTCGATGATGCCGTCTCTGAGCTCCTGCTCGTAGTTGAGAATCCAGTTGTAGTCTTGGAAAGATATCTCCTGGTCCTCCCATGTGTGTGAAAGAATGATGTATCTGCCCAAAGTCAGATCTGATCCAACATACGCGCCATTTCCTGGGCTGCAGGATGTCATACTTTGGGATTCTGTCTCCAAAAAACTCTTCCAGCTCAAGGGTGTTGATGTTGATGAGACGCATCGTGGTGATGGCACGGGATGAAGCAGTTGACTTGGAATACACGGACTGTTGGATGGGCTCGGGATCAATTCTCCTGACACGTTGATGTCGTGATGATGGGTAGGTAGGTTGGGAGGTGGGAAGAATGGAAACCAACCCCGCTCTTGTCAGCAGGCGGTTTCCATCCCCCAGGCTCCCGAATTTGATTGGGCAGGTAGTCGTCAGCTCATTCTGCTGACGTGAAGGCAGCAGTCACTCACTCTTCAACGGCGTACCCCGCAGGCAGCTCCGACCATTGATCCGTGAAATTTCGAGAGGCGGTGAGGCGGGAATTGAAATGGTGACGGTGTGAATACCTATATGAATGCATGAATTCCGTCGAGTCTCGTTTCTGCTCTGAAAACCCTCACAAATTTACATCCATCCTGTCAGGTCGTGTGGCTCAGTGGTTAAGGCATCTGCTTTACAGAGACTCACACGAGTCATTCAAAGACGCAGAGGATCGCAGGTTCGATCCCTGCCACGATCATACCAGGTGTGGGCAGTCAATGGCAGCTGCCATGACTTGTTTTTTGCTGTTTCTTGACGAAACAAACAACCCCCTTTTTTTGGACAATTCTTATGTGGACGTTGAGAAAATCACAAACCATCCATTCTCTCGGGATTGATCAGATGTGCAGCAGCCTAGATCTCGTGTCTTTTACACCCCTGTGTATTTTTGCTCGAGTAGACCATCGCTCTATTGCAATCTTTTCCTAATCTCATCGTCATAAAGTCATCATCATAGGTAGCAGACATCATAAGGTCGATCCAAGTGCACGCTCGCTTGCTTTTTTCCACCTTGCGTCCAGCCCCTGTCTTCTCATCACCCCGACAACGATCAACCCCTATCCCCTTCGCGCCGCCCCATCCCCACCCGGTGGCCCCCAGGGACTGTACTGTTCCTGACCAGTGTATCCCCCCAACTGTTGTTGACTTTGTCCCTGCGCCTGACCAGACTGCCAACCGCCATTCGCCCCCTCCCCCAGACTCCCCACTCTGACACCCGGTACACCTGCATCGCCCACTTCTCCACCACCAGGAACCCCCAAACCACCCCCACCCCCTGTCCTCCTCGTCCCTCTCCCTCCCCTCGTTCGCCGTCCATTCATATACCCCCCAAACTGAACTCCCGGCACCCCTCCAAGCGGCGCTGAAGGTGGTGGCGGCGGCGGCGGCATGATCTCAGCGCTCCTCCGACCCCCTCCCCCTGACCCAAGAAAGGTCTGCCCATGTCCCGGCGCCGGTCCCGGACCCGCACCGACACCCGCGATGTGAAACTCGTCTTCCACGGGACTTATCATGCCCATTGTCGTCACTGGTCCAAGGCCGGGGACGCCACCTGTGTGGAGGAGATGGGGCGGGAGGCCTGGGCTTGGGTTATTGGGGCTGTTGGTGCCCGCGGGGTGGGGCGTCTTTTGGGAGCCGGCACCGGAGCGGGACTCGCGGCGGTAGCGGTTGGTGTAGGAGCGGGCGTTGGATTGGAGTTTGGGGAGGCGGGCGTTGAGGCACTGGGGGGGTGGTGGTGTCAGTTTGTGGCGTTGCAGGAGGAGAAGAGGGAATCGGGGTTGAAAAGGTTGAAAGGTGAGGGTGGACCACGATGGAGGAAGGAAAGAACCCTCGACAACGTCTCCACCGCCATCGTCTTCCATCCCAACCCATCCCCAACCGCCCCCGATAAGGACCCAAACACACCGACCAGACCAACTTCCCAGAAAAGAAGAAAAAACTCACCTCCTTCTCCACAAACTCCCACCTCTCCTTCACCCTCTCCGCCAGCCCCCCCCAAATCTCCCGCCGCATCGCCATGTACTCGCTCGCGATCCGCTCGAACCGCCGCGCGTCGCCGGCGCTGTCGTGCGCGCCCCGCCGCTCCATCAGCCGCTCGTGGCGCTTGCGGCACGCGTTGGCCGTCTTGGCCGGGAAGTGCGCCGCCTGCAGCTCGGCCCAGTGCTGGCCGCGCGCGCGCGCCGCCAGCAGCGTGCGGTCGTCGGCGGCCGTCCAGGTGCCGTAGTTGTAGGCGGACGCCGGGAAGCCATCGTCGGGGGGCGCGAGGGGAGCGGGGGAGGAGGAGGTCTGCCCCGAGAGACGACGGGGGGTGCTGGGACCCCCGTTATCATCGGCGGGAGGGGCGGGCCGCGGTTGTTGTGGTGGTGGTGGTGGAGTGGCCGCCGACGTCGGGCCCGCGGTGGCCGCGCCATATGCGGCCAAGGGGGGCGGTTGTGGTTGGGCGGGGGGCTGGGCCGGCCATGTCGGCCGCCCGCTTCCCCTCCCCGCCTGGCCAGCGGAGGGCCGGGGAGAGGGGCCGGCGATCGGTCCGCGGTCTGGCGGTCGGGGGGCTGGCGCTAGCAAGGGCCCGGGGACGGGAAAGCCCTCGCCGCGGTGGGTTCGGGTAGGGGACCGGGAGGGCGGCTTCGGGAGGATGGGCGGGATGGCGGCGCCGTTGGGGTACATTCTTTCTCTGGGGGTTCCTGGGTTTTGTTCTTTTTTTTCGCAAGGCGGTGGGCAAAGAATGGAGGATCCCGAGTAGGTATTCACTGACGAGTCGGAGGTCGTGGTACGGCTGATGTTGTCATCCCTTCCCGGGGGGACCCCGTTTCGACCCTCAGGCTCAACCGACGCGGCGATGTACTGCAAGGGGCCGAGAGACAGAGGACTGCATGGAAAGAGAGCGTCGACGACGACAAAGGCTTGGGGTGGTCATGAGGTAATTCTTTTTTTTTTGGCTCCTCCTCCCCGTATCTGAAGATCTGCTGTGTCAGGCCGCCCGTCAGAAGCGGGCCAGACGCTGGCCCAGGCTGACTGCTGGGCGAATCGAATGCAATTTCCCTCGGGTTGTTTGCATGGCCGCCTATCGTGGAGGTCGAGACGTCTGCAGGCGAGGGGGTGCCACTATATGACTGAGTGCGCCGTGGGTGCAGGCAGACACTGGAACGGGGCCGCTGGGCGGTCCATCGGGGGTTGCAGAAGCGACTGCTCAGTGCTGCCTCATGTCGTGCCCGAGACAGCCCGATCCAGCTCTGCTGGGCTTGTAGCCCGTGGGCTCTGGCCAGCGTGCGTCTTCGAGATGCAGCTGAGACAGATCCAACCCGTCCGTTGCCCGTCGAGTTACATCAGATGCTCTGCCAATCTTGGATGGGACGGTGCACTGCTTACCCCTTTTACACCAACCCACCAACATCAAACCCAGATCGTCAACTCCTGGAAACCACAGCAGAGGAAAATGGATAGCCAGTCCACTCTGCATTCCAGAGGGCAATCATCATGCCCGTCTGGGTCCTTGGTGAGCTTGCCAGTGAACTAATGTGGTATCGACTGCTGCTGAAATCCTCGTGCATTCGTTTGCAGTGCTCATGCAACCTCCTTCGACCTGCATCAATGGCGCCATGCCAAGCAATGACAGAGTCCCATTTAAATCGGCTGTCCAAATCCACCGTGCTCACCGAAAAATACCAGCCATGTTTCCTGGACGTGCTGTGTCTGGTCCCAACAGGACTGCCAGTGCTCGGCCTGGATACCGTCACACCAGAGGCACATATGTTTCGGGACCCCACTGCGGGCCGAACAGTATAAATGTTCTGTCCGGGCACCAAGTTCGGTGCTTTCTCTTCTATATTTTCTTGGTCTTTATACTTCAGGTTTCGCCGAATTCCTCCAAACTGTCGTGTTCAGGGCGTCTTGTGATTGTATGGTGTCAAAGATGCCAAAGTTGAGACTGTATTGTCATGCAGTGTTCAGGTAAGCCGTCTATCAACTGTTTGGCAACAATGTTCACTGCGAAGACCACGTGCGTCAAGAACTTGAAAGCACCCTCGCTTGTATTTTCCAGTATGAACTGCTTCCCGCTGCCGTATATATAATGTTGCCGCTATCAGATCAAAGAAAGACGTACGAATCGGGTTCAAGTGCTCCGAGTCCAAAGCTCTCCCGGGCAATCAGAATACCTTGACCTTGCACCCACTTGTCTATATGCATGTTTCCCAGGCGAATATACTCCATGTCGGGCGGAAGGGCCTTTAGGAAGGAATCCATGTCGGACGTGGTTTTGAAAAGCGTGCAGCTGGAGACGAGCAGCCACTTGAGGTTGGAGTATGCTCCCTCACTCAAGACCCCATTCCCCAGCAAGCGAGAAAGATTGTAGGGCCAACCACCAAAGTCGAGGTGTAACCGTTGCAAAGCAGGTGTCCCTAAGAAGTCAAGGGGCTCGATGGCCTCGGGTCCATTGGCAGGGGCCGTTGTCGCCAGCAAAAAGCTTCGAACCTGGGAAAGCGCCTTCGACAGGTCTGCCCGTGTTTTGCTGTTTTTCGTCCGTATTTCCAAGAGGGTGTCGTCCTAGAACCGTATGTCAATCGTGTCGAAGCGTACCCCTTCCCGGTGAGCAGCAATTGGTATCTGAACAATATCGTAGAGCGGCTGCACTTTGATATCATCCCCATTTGGATCTCCCTTGCTCGGATGGGCGGAGTGGCTGTAATAGGCGGCCAGCCCCGAGAATAGCCATTCCTCGTCAAGGCTCACCAAGTCGTGATTGACCGTGATTTTCAAACCAGGATCATCGCGGCGGTTCCCGTGCTCGAACCATATCTCTTTGAGTGAAGGCATTCTGGACATGGCCCGGGCAACCCTCTTGGAAAAGGTGGTCGAGTCACCGCCTGACAGGAAATCCGCCTGACCTTTGAATATCTGTTGATAGGAGTTCCACATCTTGAGGAGGAGAGCCTGTTGCTTGTAATCCGGGTCGTTTGGTGTCAATGGGGTTGCTCCCCGCCCTGCGATTCGCATCCACGAATTCATTATTATATCCCTTCCCTCTGCGTGGTTTTCGGTGCAGCGGGCCACCCGAGCTCTCTGAGTCACCACGAAGCTGAGAAAAGACAAGTCCACCTCCCTGTACAATCCAAGCTTGACATTGACAACGCGTATGTTCTTCCTGAAGACGGGGCATTTGGAGATCTCTTCCAGACGCAGCAGAGATGAGCTGCGGTAGTGGACAGAAACATGAGTGAAAAGCAGATCTGAAGCCACACTCCCGAATCGACGGCAGGTCAAGCGACAGTTCTGGATGCCTCGTGGGTTTGGTCGGATTTGCGGTGGGGCGGAAAACGGTCCACTGCGAATCAACGGGGGGCTGTCGTCCCGGACGGCTTTGAAGATTCGGAGAAGAAGTTCATCAGGCAAGTCGCGGATACCGAGTTCTTTCCTGGAATCGGAGCCACTTCCGTCACCAGAGTCGCCGGCGGAACCACCAGGCTGGATGCTCATCCGACCGAGGGAAGATATGACTTCATTTTCTGACGGTTCCAAGTTCGACATGGTTAAGGGGTGCCGAGTCGCGGCCGTTGTCGGGGAAGGGCGGTGAGGGATAGGCCTGTTGCCCAACAAGTTAGAATCCATAAGCGGGCAGGCTGGGGTGAAGGGGGACGCCAACCTACCGTCAAGCACCCCGTCAATTGATGCTGTACAAACACTTTGTTGAATGTTTTCAGAGCA